TGTAGGATTTCTCGTTGACCTAATTATTCAACTAGTTAATACAAACAATTTAACTAAATTATGCTCTTATTAATTAATTCCAGTTAGATTAATTACACTAATTTTTTGACTATGAATATTTTTTTTGTTTTTTTTTTTTTTGTATAGAAATTCTTAATTTTTATCTTCAAGACAACTACTAATACTTTTTATCGTATAAGAAAAAAACGGACAGTGAAGAAATGCATTAGATGTATCCCTACATTATTCAACCATCAATGGTCATTAATCCAAGGTATTTTAGTTTAAAGCATGTATTCAATTATTATAATAACTAATAATATCTATAATGCCTATTGTATTGTTATATTTAAAAAAAATAAAAATAAAAATATTATCCATTATATTGTTTTACTTGAAACGAGTTAAAGTTTCCTCCAGTAACCAGACCACGTGTGTTGTAATATTGCCAAGCTTTGATCGGATAGCCTCCTTGACAACCTAAACCACATCGGTAACAACAAGACGTTACCTGTTCAGCTGATAATAGTTGATTGAATTTTCCATTCGACGCTATACACAAGCGGTCGGCGAACGCTCCAGAAGTGCTGAATGCCTATCATAGTCAGATGAGGACAATTTTTATACAAATTTAGTGTAGTTAGAAGTAATTTAATCAAAATAATATTCACCCAACAAGAGCCGCAATTYCCTTGATCACGAATCGTCCCRATCGTCGTACAATTCTTCCATCTTTTTCTCGCGTCAAATTCTTTCGGAATACTTAATATGGTCTTGTACAGTGGGTCGTTCGATTTAAATAGATATGTTGTTGAGGCCTGCACGCCTTTTGAACCCAAAAGTCTCAATATGAATTTCAAAGGAGTTTCTGGATGAAAGTTGATACCAACCTGGTGATATAATATCAACAATAAATATTAGAACATGACAAATACGACGTATTATATAACATTTAAATATTGATAACAATAAGGGCCTGGAATTATGTATCTATTAATTATTATCATATAAACAAATTGATCCTAAAAATTCCTTATCGATGCAATAATGACCTTATAAAAAAAATGTTTATACAAGAACAAAACTACGCTTCTGATAGAAAAAATATGGTTTGGTTTTTGGAATTTATAAAATTTCTTTAACTTAACCAAACTAATAATAGTATTAAAACTAAWTATTAAACCAAGAAACACACAATAAATAAACAGTAAACTGGAAATAATTTTAATCTCACGATATATTATAAACTGTTCGGAAATTTTAAATAATAATAAGTAATAACCTCCATTTATAATTTATATACTAAATACACACATATATATTATATAAACAGTAGAAGCTGCTTATTAGAAACACTTTAGAACCAAAGTGAAATGTGTCAATTAACCGATTGTTTCTAAAAAGCGATTGGATTGTGTGTACTATGAAAAAAAAAGAAAATAATAAAAATGTATGCATGTATGTATATTATAAAATTTAAAAAAAGTATGTAAAAATGTATATATTTACTATATTATTTAAAGTATTTTTTGATCAAAGTTTGTTGTTTTGTGTCAAGTAACTCCATGACCAAATTTTCAAATGAATAATGCTGCTCAAAACCTATTTCATTAGTACGATGCTGAACAACTCCCTGAAAACACTTAGAGCTGCTAAAATTTCCTTGTTTGATCATTTATCATAATTTCATCAGTATTGGCCTGTTCAATTGTTTGAGAATTCATTACCGCATTACAAATCTCTTCTTTAGCTGGAATCTCTGCCATATCAAGGAGTGAATTCACATTAATCCAATCGCCATACATTTCATCTGAMAGATCGATTAGTTTTTCAGGCAAACTATGTTCGTGTTTGTCGTCTGTTATGAATTCACCGTGACGAAAACAATTTCAAATTGTCTCAACACTTAATTTATTTCACGCTTCTTTTTCYAGATGAATAGCATCAAGAATGGTTATTTGTTTTTCGTTAGCTTGCAAGGAATAAGATGCATCGTATAGAAAATTATCAATTACTGCGAGAACTTTCYYCCAATTTCTAATCTGTTATAAGCTTTGAAGGTGCGTATGATAGTATTCGCTGATAAGAAGATAACTTTTATGTGTCTTAAGTTTATGCAGTCAATTATATGAGCGGGACAATGAAATTATCAATTAATATCTAATAAAATGTTCCGATTGAATTCTTTGTCCCAATTGATCAGCCAATCTTTGAAAATTACTGCAGTTGTCCAAGCGTTTTTGTTTGCTTAGTAATATACTGGTAATTTTTTCACTCTCTTGAAACACCGTGGGTTCTGATTCTTATCTATTACCATTAATTTTCGTTTTTCCCAGTTCATGCTAGCACAGCACATAATTGTGAGTAGCTGCTTCCTCATTTTTGACCCTTTGGCTTTGTCAAGTTTGAGTGCGTATGTGTTCAGGCAAAGCTCTAAAATAAAGCCCAGTGTCGTCTGCATTGAAAATATCAGAGTACTGGGCCAGCAAATCGGTCTAATGAGTTTCAAACCATGATTGTGCTGCAATAAAATCGGCTTCCACTTACTCTCCGTAAGTTKTAATGAACCTGATGTTCTCCTTTTTCCTCCAACATTGAAAACATCCTTCCGTCGCAATAAAATCGTCTTTACCCATTTTMTTTGCCAAGTCTTCAGCTTTGTGACGTAAAAGTGGACCATTAATACGGGAACCTTTTTTCCTTACTTGTAACTATCCCTTTAACGTTTTGCCTACAACTTCTTTTTTTCCAGCTATTTTTCTTTTCCAACTACCACTTTCATTGTTGCACGTTGAATATTTGAACGATTTATAAAATTCTATTTAATGTGTAATGAGAAATGTTTAAGTGAGCTGCGGCATCACGTTAACTAATTTTCGGAAACATGTCGAATGGTTTTAATAACTTTTATGTTTAGAACTTAAATTTCATAATAAAACACTAATCACTTTTACATACGCAAGCTGACGCTGAACTAACGAAACGTACAGGAAAGAGCATTCTTATACATCGTATAGGACGTACTTCACATACGATAATGAACAGTTAAAATATAAACGTAACGACGGCAAACATAAGATTAAATTACATTGGTTATCGCACGGATAACCGGTGTAAATGTCAACTGACCTTCGCCCAATTGTTTCAAATAACCGATGTGATGTTTCAATATTTATATTGAAATTTTATATACTTTGATAAATTTTCAAATCTTTTTAAGTTATTCTTAAACATTTGAAATTTTCAGTTTTTTTAGTTTTTATTTTATAAATGTCAATAAAATAAGTAAATTTACAATATGTCTATTTCCAACAGACCGTAAAATTTGGTTTTTTTTTATAACATTTTATAATCCAGGTAGATAGATAAGAACATTAAATCGTTCATAATGATTGAAACATCGTCTTTTGGACTTTGGCACGGATGAATTATATTCAATAACTATTAAACCATATAATTTTATTAAAACAATATTTTTCTGATAAAATATTTTAAATTCACCAATTTACTCTATAAGTTCCTCCAAAAATATATTAAAATACTATACAATAAATATTAATACAATTCACTTAAAAATACTAAAAAAATCTTTATAAATAGATGAACATCAAAAATTACATAAAAAAAGCAAAATGCAAGTTTGCATCTTTGTACTTTTGAAGTATCTATAGTATATGAGAATAATTATATATTGACATTTGAATGCATCTGCTTAGAGCACTCAAAAAAGATGCATTTCGATCTGGATTTCGGGTCTTATTGATTATAATAACATTGGTTTCGAATTTATTGAATTAATGATAAATTACAAAACTAACATCGATTTTATATTTTAAACATAAAAAGTCTATGTAATAAAATTGTAATCATAGTCATTCCTATAATAGTGTTAACGTAAAAGTGTATGACTAATTACAGAATAATGAAATATATCAACGTAGGTATATTTAAATCTCTTAAGACATTAATCGTCAGATTATTTTAATCAATTGCGTTTTACAATTCAAACTTGACAACTAATAGTTTAAACAAGTTTAAACAGATCATTTAGAAAACCATTTTTAACTTAGGTATTCATACACTCATTTATTATTACTACATATTATATTTATATTTCAAATTACATATATAGTTTAAAGGTGTGATTATATGTATACTAATATTAATACACAATTTATAATATAAATTCATTTCGTACGTAACATAACTACTTGTGTTATTAAAATACGAGTACAACCAGTTTTCAATTTTAATGTTCATAAACATTAGGATGGAACATTTCAAATACAATTTATCATAAATTTCCCCATATAATTCTAGAAATATAAAAAAGGAAAGAACAATTCTTTTAACATACCTCTGAAGTTCAAATAATTATAAAATCGGATATTAAATGAAAAATAAGTTTTTTTCATTTATGATTTAAATTATATTTTTTTTTAATTGAAATTTTTACCAATACTTTTTATTTTTTATTATCATAAATACACAATGCAATTTTCAAAATATTGAGACTAAATCTAATCTATATATATATACCACGGTCCTATTCACACTGTTCTAATAGGTACGTGTAGATCACGATAATAATTGGAACACAGATAAAAATAAAAATTTATCATCTTATTCGGCTATAAGTTATTAATTCTTTCCAAACTTAATTTAACTTAATTTAAATATTATATATCAAATAACCCGTTCAACTAAAAAAATGTTCAGAATGTACAGAGATATTACTTATTTTTTGTTGTTGCGTTGTTATTATTATTTATTATTTTTACATTTTGAGTTAATTWACATTTCATTGATAATAAAGAAAAAGGTAAGACGGAATTGATACCTTTTAAAGTCATTATGCATTTTGATGGTCATCTACTGTTCAGAAGAATTTTAGTTTTTTAACAGTAAAAAATAATATTATATTACGCAATAGCGTTACCTTCCAAGTTCTTGCAACACTATTAATTTTACTTATGTAGTCTTTATTCAGAAAATATGTTTGTTCCGATGCGTAAGCACTAAACAAAAATATGAAAACTGCACAACTTGAGAATAATAATGATATGTTCATCTTGACAATAATTATAATTTTTTTTTCTTGAATTTAAATTTTAAATGATATTGTTATGCGACTGTCTGTCGTACGAAATATCATATTATAACTGACATGTGAACAAACTGCTATGATTGAAGGAACCACCTGGAGGGTGTGCACGATAATTTTGTTTGTTTATTATTATCAGACGTATTGCATTATTACAATRTATTATGAAGGTTTAAGTGGAAAATGATACGTTTCAATTATTTTTCTCATAAATATATAATAGTAACACAATAAATATTTTGTTACACATGTTAAACAATATTATCTTATATTATTTTCAATTACAAGGTAGGTGTGTCATTCAAGTTGTATTCTATAATCTGTTTCATCAAGTTTATACTCCGCATTCGGTAAATATAAAAMATACACGTGTTAGCCAGCAACATTGTCTGAGTGATATATTTATGTTTCCTAGATCCATTTTTATTTTATTTTTTAGTCAATTTCAGTTCTTTTCCTACTCATTATATAATATATAATAAATATCAACTCAGAGCTCTTTCCACTGCAATAAATATTTTTATCAGCTCGATTTTAAGTTAGTTTTATTTGATATYCAACTCAGAGCAAGCTARATAGTTATTTGACAGGGTAAGCGTCCTTAGATGATAATAAGTTGTCACATGAGTACCTACATGTAGAAGTGGATATATATGAAATRTTTGATGGAATGGCTCGGAAACCACAAAACATGGATATTAGTTCGTGTTATAAAAATGAATCAAACAATTTGAAAATTAAAAAATGTCAGAAAAGTATCAAATCACACGTTGAAGGGTATACGTCATTCGCATCCGAAGAATTTAGGTACAAAAGTGGTTATGTATAGATTTTACCGAGTAATAATAATAAAATACCAAAAATGTTATGATTTAATTAAAAGTAAAATTTGAAGAATAAACGATAATTTGTAAACCATCGATATAAAAAATAAAATGATAAAAATTTAATAGCAAACCATGAAAGTTTTCATCTCATGATGTATTTTAGATTATAGATTCATTTTTTTCAACGTTTATTCTCATAATGTATTTAAAAAAAGACAATTTAGAACTTTTATACTTGAGCGTGACATAACTATATATTATATCGAACAAATTTTTAATTGTATTTATTTTTTTATCAATTCATTTAATTCAACTTTAAAAATTTACACATTTCGAATGACTAACTAAAATATCTACAAACAATATTAGGTACATATAGTAAATAATTTTTGTTACCTTATTTACCTGATGAAATCGGTGTATAGGTACCTTTTAATTCGTGATAAAAATCCATTGGTAGGTACATATAAGATGTATATGTTTCAAATAGTCMATTCAAATTGGCACAATTATTTACAAACACTGATTTTAAGACTATCACATGTTTTAAGCAAAAATATAGCCTTTACAAGTGGACCTTACATAAATGTAATACAATTCGACATATTTCACTTGATGTAAACTTTAATAAGATATAATACATTTATTTTTATTTTTTTTTTGAATGTTTTCTAATCACGTAAATGAAATATTTCATGAAAGTATTATTAAATATATATATATATATATATATATATATAAAAAGAAGGATTTTCATACCATTTTCAAACCCTAAGCACAAAGAATTGAAAATCTGAGAGCAGAATGTACAAATTATTTGGATAATGTATTGGAAAAACACAACTCAATAATACCTGCTCAATAATATCATGTAAACAGTTCTAGCCTGATAAAATGGAAAGAAAAATTTAAAATGTTTTTAAAATAATCCTGAACAATTTGGATAAATTCGAAACCAATTTGGATGCACTGAATTATTATAATGTCAAGTCTAGACGTGCTTCCAATATGCAAACACATCGGGTAGCAAAGGTTATCCGTGACGATGATCCCATGAAAAAATTTATTAATATTTCTATAGTTTAGTGTCTGTTCTATTCAATGTTCGGAACGTTCACTAAAAAAATGAATTCGTTCACGTTCACGTTYAGTCCTTAAAAAAGGAACTCGTTCACGTTCACGTTCATGTTTTTTCAAACGAACGCGTTCACGTTCATGTTCTTTGAAAAAATGACGCGTTCATAAGGTCGTTCATATAATTTTTTGTTTATAAATAGTTTACCARYAGTTTGAATAAAAACCCTTAAAMATATAGGTCTCAACCCAAAAATAAAAACAWTTTAGACTTTAGAGCATATACATTTTCTAAAGCATATAAATTATATACATATTAACATGTTATATTTATTAAATAGTAAATAAATTGAGCGTCTTCAAAATCGTTCAAATTCATTAAAAATATAAACGTCGTTCACGTTCACGTTCTATTTTTAAAAAATGAGCGACGTTCGCGTATCGTTCACTAACTATGAACGTGAACTTGTGAACATGCGTACATGAACGACGTTCTTTCCAAACACTGGTTCTATTAGTGAAATTTTYCAAATGTTTCGATGTAATAATTTTTCGTGTGCACACGCATACAATGCCTACCTAATATTTAATACTGTTATGATTTCAGTTTTCGTAGGAATTGAAAAAAAGCCATACCCAATACTATTAATTATACTATTTCCATTACAAGCAAAGAAATTGTATTTTATAAAATGCTTATTTATGCGAATGCAGTCTTGTCGTAGTTATTAATAATAATATACACAAATGATATAAACAACAATGAATACTCGTTGTGTGCTTAAACTCAACGTGTTATGTTTAAAAAATAAAATACACAGTTATAATATACACATAGAAAACGCGTACCTTGTTGTTTTATTATTACCGTTAAATTGTTAGCTAAGTCGTTAGTTAAAATAATTTACTATATCTTCACAATAATATTATGATTTATAAAACTATGTACCTATGTTAAGTGTAAGAAAATATAAACCATTTTTAATGGAATGTTAAAAACGGATATTTGTTTCAAATTGTACCAGTAACAACCACCACGATGGACTGGTTGTTTAATAATATCGTAACATGAAATTTAAAGAAAATAATGTTTTAATCGATCGGAATTCGTTCTTTAATAATGATATTTAAGTGTACTACAGAGTAAGCCATGTGTTTGTCGTATAACAATGCATCTACCCAAATACTGCCAAACATACTTTTTTACTATGGTTAATTTTCACAATTAAATTGATGAGTATATAGAGTGATGGATGGRTGATTCACCAAGCATTCATTATTATGTTTTTTTTAAGTGTGACTGAATTAAAATTATTTACCAAAGAAAGCATGTGCAATAATTAATGTATGGTAAATGTAAATATTATATGAATAGGTACATAAAGTTCATTGTAATCATAATATACAAAACAAGGAGATTTTATAAGCATACTATTTTCCCTGCCTAATTTATTCTCTTAAATAGTACATTGYTAAAATTTTATGTTTTGAATTTTTTAAGTATACTTAAAAAATAATGCTGTTAAATCACTAATATGTAAATATGTAGTCTTACTATTTAAAGAGTGTTCTGTGACGATAAGACTGTTTCACTAAAAATTATCGAGTGAAAGATTTTTTTCAAAAATATTAATTTATCTAAATCTACATTCTAATGAATAGTTTTTGAGTTTTTAAAATTTTTATATTAAGGAAAATCACATTTTTCGGTGTAATATCCATCATACTTGTACCGATTTTTAAAATTGATTAATAATTATAGTATATAGTTTTATTTTTAATATTTTCAGTTTACTTTAGTTTCCATATCTGAGTCGCAACCTATGAATGTCTAGTGAAAAAACATGTCTTACTAGAAAAACTCCCACGTTCTGTAATTAGTCTAATTTTTAGACCATTTTTCAGCACTCTCAGGCAATTTTATTAAATATTAGTATGTTTACAAAATATATACATCTGTATGTATTATTGTGCGAGATTTTATTGTGAATATTAGGAAATTAAAAATATTATGTCAAGAAACACTGATCTCATAATATTTATTTAGTTTGTTTTGGGTTATTTCATTAGAATCAAATTTAAATCGTTCTGTAAATGAAAAGTTGTCAAATTTACAAGTGATAATCGAATTTGATGTCTTGTTGCAATGTTATCTATTATGCGATTGCAATTATTTCTAGTGTACTAGCGTTTAGTTRATATAAAGTGTTAACGATTATCGATAGTTTAACCATAATTATCTTATCGGTTGCTAAGTTAATAAATACAAAAAAAAAATTTATGATTTTTCAAAGAAATTTTTACGTTGAGAAGATAATCTTTAGAAAAATCTTCGGTTACTTTTTATAGTATTTTTTGATTGTTTTTAGTGGTCAATAACCATTAAATATGGAATAAAATGATTTAGAAATGATTTGCAGTAGGTATACTGTAAACTTTTATGTTTTTTAAGATAAAAATATATTGACGAAAAASGAAAATCTAAAAAGGAAAAAAAATAAACAACTAAACAACTGCATAAATATCTACCATTTTATTATTAAATTAATATATTATATTATATTGTATCCATGGACTCTCTGGGGACGCGAGTAGATACTTTCCAGCCAAAACGTGTTCACTGCAAGCGTAATAATTTTAGTTTGGGGTTCATTATCAGAATCATTGCAGTTAACCAGTGTCCCGATCAAATTTCTCGTACACGAGTTATTTCTCAATGATAAAAGTGAGGTACACAAGTTTTATTCCAATGCAATGATAAAAATGGGATACACGAATTGTGTCCCAACTATATATGACGTTTTACACAGGTTGTKTGCTGATAAATTCAAATCGATATTTTACATTAGAATAAAATATGTTATTTTGTTAATTTAAATAAAAAAAGTTTTTATAAATTCATATCAAGAAAATTTCCAATTTTAATGKTGTATAAAATATACCAACATATATTTTATAAGTTATTTACTGAATAGATTTAAGTATTTGCTTTATATGAAATATTATTAAAATCATTTGTGTAGTTATTTTTACTTTTTATTTATATTAGTTAGACCAAACTTGTGTTTAACCCTCCCAAAAAAACTGAGGGACACAATTCGTGTAATCTGAAAAAAATAGGGACACAATTCAGTATTTGAG